TCTTTACCTGAGATTTGCTCCAGGGTAGCTTCCAGACCACCAGACCATGATAATTTGTTCAGGGGAGAAGTTCCCTGAAAAGCTATGTGAACATCAGAAATGCTTAGCAGATGTGTGCCCTCATGGTTAAGGTGAATGGACCAGGTTTACAAAGCTGATTCCACTGAACACTGGAATTTATCACTGAACCAGACCCCGGGGTGGGGGTGGGGGGCGGTGAGGTTGAAAACACAATAGCAGGGCTTCAATCAGAATCTCAGGCTCAGATGCAGATTTTTGTATTCTTTATCGTAACTCCTCTAATATGCAGCCAGCGCAAAGAACTGTCCTAGTGTAATAAGTTGGCTTCCTGGCCTATGTATTTTAATAACTTGTGAGTCAGCAGCCTGTGTTATAACAATTTGTAAGTTAGCTTTCCATGCTATAGTAACCGGTGAATTAGCTTCGCAGAGAATAGCTTATGAGTTAACTCTTGTGAGTTGGACCCTCTAAATCTCATCTCCAATATGCTGGCTGAGGTGACAGTGACACTGAGGATCAGACCTGCATCAGGCTGACTTGCCCAAGGCCACCACATCCCCTGTCAACCACAGCATCCATGACACACAAATGGCTATTTAAGTTCTGATTTAAATTAGTTAAAATTAAATAGAATTTAAAATTCAGCTACTTGGTTGCACTTGCCACATTTCAGGTGCTCTATAGCTTCCGGTAGCTGGTGACACCGTATTGGACAGCACAGATGTGGAATCCTTCAATGACAGAAAGTCCTGTTCTTGCACAGCCCTGACCTCTCTTGCAGACACCCGATTCACTGTATCCATTTATCCAAACATATATTTCACACACTTTCCCTCAGTCTAAAATACCTTTATCCACTATTTGATACATTAAATTACCCTTTACTTGGTATATCAATAAAGGGATAAAGGTGTTTTAGAGGCAAGGAAGCAGCACCTCACTGAGAGGAGGGGATCTAGTGTTGGGATCTCACACCCCGTTTAGGTGGAACTGGCTAAACGAGGTCACGGCTTTCCTTGGAATTACCTATCCTATCATCTATCTCTGTATCTTCCCCATTAGTAAATATTTGACTTGCCTAAGGCATAAAATGCCTTGCATTTACTTGAGGCAAGAAAATACACCATAACAACAAGACAGTTCTTCACTTTTATAATTTATTTCTATTCACCATATGCTTGCAATCTACCGACTTTTTTTTTTTTCATCAATCAGGGAAAGGAAATGAGACACAAGGGTTACTGAGTAATTAAAATGTTATCTCTTAGTACCTGACAGCTTACTTTCTTTTTAGCAAAAATAGAAGCAGAGGCAGTCACACTAAACTGATTAAGGTAAAAAGAATGCAGATGTCTTAATTAAGGTAGGAATTTACATAGAGAGCATTGCAGTAGGAGTTGGAAGGTCCTTACATCATTACTTTAGTATTTATGGGACTTGGGCAGAAGGCAAAACTTAACTTCTCCAGCCTCAGTTTCCTAATCTATTAAGCATCAGTGACATTTTCTGTAAAATGATGATAACGGATGAAGTTCATGGGGGCTCTTATAAGGATGTAATGATGTGTTTAAAGCTCATGATACAATGTGTGGCTCATAACAGGCATTTAATAAGTGGTATCTACTCCTGTGCTGATTATAATTAGCTGAACCAACCAAGGATTCATTGCTCAGTTTTGCTTCTGCCACACCCGGTCAACCTAGGCAGCAGTTACATACAGCATTAGGTAAGGCGCTGGAGAAGGAAAGTGCAGATTTCCACAGGGAACACCAAACACATTGGCCTGGTTAGAGAGGGTGCTTGGAGGAGAATGCTGAGAAATAATGCAGGGCAGGTAACAGCAGCCCCTGGGGGAGCTTTGGTATCCAAACAGAGGAGTTTGGGCTCGGTCAGTTTGCACCCAATTCAGAATCACCTGGCGTGCAGATTCCTGGGCCTCACCCCAAACCTAGTGCTTAATAGCTGGCAGTTGGGAATCTGTATTTTATCAAGTCACCTAGACATTGCTTGAGCACATTGAGCTTTAAGAACCACTCCTGCAGGTATAAGATATATTGGGTTGTTGGAAAAGTCATAACATATTTTTTCGATGTTTTTCATTGCAAAAATGCATCATGACTTCTCCGACAACCCAATACATCTTTATCTGTAGTCATATTCTTGAAATATAGGAGCAAAGTGGAATAAGAGGCCAACCAACCAGTGTACAGAATAACTTTCTGGATGAGAAGATGAGGCAGACTGAAGGCAGAAGGGAGGTGACTAGAGTAGGTACAACCCATGACGTGGGTGATGAGGGACGTCACTAAATGAGGCTGGGAATTAAGGAATAGACAGGAATCTGTAACTCTAAATATTATCATAAAGAAGTAGAATTTAATGACAAAGTGCGTAGGAGATTCAAAATGGAGGACAGGAAGTATTCAAAACTGACCACATGATTTTAAGTTCAGGTGACTAGAAGACTGAAGATACATTGACACACGTGATGAATTGAGAATGTCCAGTTTTGTGGAAAGATAAGTTCAGTTTGGAGTGTGTTAGAGGATGTTGATCCTTATAAGTGGAAACTTACAGAAAATCATTAATGGAAAGGAGGGGCTCCAAGCTTGAGTGACAGGGCTTGGCTAGAACAATAGATGACATTTCTTTTTAAGATTTTATTGGGGAATCGGGGGAGAGGAACAGCACTGGGGTAAGGGGAACAGACAAGTTGCTGTCCTTTTGTTCTTCAGTCTAGTTGTGGAGGACGTCGCTTTACTGGCCTATGTTGGTATTATCACTGTGCTCTTCCTGGGTGAGGCAGTCACTCGCCAGCCATTGGACGGCTGCTCACAGCGGCTCACGAAAGCTCACGCACCCTGCAGCCTACGCCGTCACCGGCGACTCACAGCAGCCCAGCTCCAGGTTGAGCTGTTGTTCACCATCTTAACTGCAGAGGGCGCAGCGTCACTGGCCCTCATGTGGGATCCGAACTGGGGCCCTGCTGCTTAGAACTGGCGTCCCAAGCCAACTCCTAACCAATGCATCACTCGGCCGGCCCAATAGATGATGTTTTTTATGGAGCAGCCTCAGATGAGGCTTTCTCTGTGTCATTTCCTCTTTAAATTGTCAAAATATGTTATTTCATGCACAAAGGATTACATGATCTAGATTTTAATCATTTGAGAAACCTAAAATGAGTGTTTTCAATTTAAGCATTATCCTACCTGTAGAGAAAAAGAAAAAGCTGTGTTTACATTTTATTTCAAAGATCAAAATATATGGCATAGTTGATAAAGTGAGCATATTTAATTATTTTTCTCTTTCTAGGCAGGATACAAAGTGCTTAAGGGCTGGGAGAAGTGGTTGGAAAACTCATATACCCCAGTGAGGTATTGGGAAATGCTTAGTTGTTGAACTGAACATTAAAATGATCCTGAGAGATGCCTGGCAATATACAGCACCCCTTTACTCCGAGAGTTAATCCTGTTTTTGGTAAATCCCCTGGGTTCAATTCTCAACTATGCTCAGTCCTTTGAGAGGCTAATTGAGATCTCTGGCTAATATAGGAATTAATTATTGCCTGAAAATTAAAAGTGAGAGTGTGCCCCAAATCTGAGACTCACTTGGTCTGTTGGGAAACTTCCTAGAATTAGACATGTTGACTCTAAGCAATATTGCCTCAGTTGGAGTAGAATAAAAAATAAAAATAAAAGAATAAGGAAAATAAAAAATAAAATAATGAGATATAACTTCAAAACAAAAAAAAAAGGTATATGAAGAGCCTTTTCACTGTTCTTACAAGAGACACATACTTCTACCAAAGTAAAACTGTTACAGCAATGTTTCTGGTTGCAAGCATTTTAATTTTTTGTCTTGATCATACTTTTAACAAAAAAGAAAAACCATGTTATAATAATTTAGTATGTGTAATCATTAAAGCATTTTATTAAGCATTATATCAACAAAAAGATGGGCATGTTCCCAGAGGAAATACATTTTTTAATGTATTTCTAAACTCGAGGCTATGCCTATACTCATGCAAGGATTAGAATTTATATACATTTTATTATTGTCTGATATTCATATACTGCATTGTAAGACATACTGAATATCAGACATTATGCAAGCAGTTCATTATATATTAAATATTTATTGAATCCAAATTAATACCATTTTTGCATGTTTTAAACTTGAATTTATATCTATGTTGTTAAGAAAGTCACATGGTTTAGAGTAAATTCACATTTTATTCCTGTCCTTAGCATTCTATGTTTGTGTCAGTTAATTTAATTAATGAAGGTGCTTCCTAGACATACCATTTGTGTGCTTTTAGTGTACAGAAATTCAAAGCAGATTCAAGCATACTTCCTACCAAATGGTTTACTTGAACTTTCAGATTGCGTCATATATGCAAGAATAAATACATTAGTTTGTTCATTTGACAACTAGTTATTGAGCATCTGCTAGGTCTCAAGCACTGTTCTAAGTGCCGAGGATACAGTAAGAAACCATGATATGGTCATCAAGAACTTGTACTTTATCTAGCCTTTAATATGTCAGCAATGATATTAGTACCCTACCATCAAATAGTTATTTTGACCCAGATCTTTGTAATAATAATTTAAACCTATAGATTGCTTCTTCTAGAAGCAAAGGTCACAGAAGAAATTCTGTTGCAGAACTAACCTTAGAAATCATATTTTAATTAATTCCTGCTAGTTTTCAATAATACGGACACCTAGACTTTCAAGGTTGGGATTTTACTTTTTTGGAAGTTCACATCACCAGCAAGCTCTGCTTTTTGTTTACTTAATGCCATTGATTGATTTGACCCATGGGGAAGGCCTATGCAGCATAATTACTGAGAAATGTTTGAGCCTCGTCATTTTAATTGCAATATTTTATATTCTATGTCTTTAGAAATGTCAGATGGTTTTCTTTTATCAAATCTGCATTCTTTAATGAGGTCTTTTATCTGTTTATGTCTTTTTCAGGTTTTAGGAAAAAAGCCGAAGCTTAGGGAAGAAGATGATTATGACGACACCTTAGCAGACATATATAATAGGAAGATGGCTAAACTGTACATGGTGAGTTTGCTGTTAGAGAATTCTGTTTTTATGGGACTGGGTGCAGCTGGGGAGGCCTATCCTGCTAGGGACTCTCACTGCCACAGTTGATCCTTTCCTCATTGCCCTCAAAGAGAAATGTGTGGGTAGAATTTGTTCTTTGCTCTAGTATATTTATGAAAATTCCTCTTCTTATTACTTTTTGTTAGTTTTATTAAAAACAACAAATAAGTGAATTTATTGCTGCGAGAAATAAAATTGTTTATTGTACAGGCTGTACTAGTTTGCACCAATGTTTTCATATATTAGACTCAATAAAATGTTTCCTTCGTGGAATAAAAATACCTTGTAAACTCTTATAAAATTTTGATAAGCTGTAAAACCTCCACCTTATTTTAAATATCCTGTTTGGCCATAATGAAGATTTTCGTTGTTATAGGAGGGCAAAGCTAACATATCAAACAGCTGAGAGAGAGAACACATTAAAAGATTAGTTTGGTTCGGGCCGGCCAAGTGGCTCAATCGGTTAAGAGCACGAGCTCTGAGCAACAGGGCTGCCAGTTAGATTCCCACATGGGCCAGTGAGCTGCGCCCGAGCTGGGCTGCCACTGAGCTGCCAACAGGTGACAGGATGGCTCTGCTTGTGAGAGCACATGCTCCTAACAACAATGTTGCTGGTTTGACTCCCTCATGGGATGGTGGGCTACAGCTACACCCACCCGCAACTAAGGTTGAACACGGCACCTCAAGCTGAGCAGCCTGGAGTTGCTGATGGGCGGCCAGATGGTGACTGGACTTGGAGCTGAGCTAGCTGCACCCTCCACAACTAAGATTTAAGGACAACTTGACTTTTTCCCTTCCCCAATTCCCCAACACTGTTCCCCTTCCCCAATTCCCCAATAAAATCTTAAAAAAAAATAGGTTCTTTCCAACTCCATAATTTTATGATTCTATTACTGATGAGGGTAACAAAAACCACAAGATATATCAGTTGAGGAGACTACTCAGATGGGATTCTTTCCATCCCTTGTGATTCTCTAAGCATGTGATTTAGAGCAGACTGCAATTTCCCTGAAGAATTGAGTTGTTTTCTCATCTGTTATAGGAAGAAGTTATATTTGCTTTTCTTTAAGTGACCTTCAAGCTCAGGAGCTAATTTTAAATGAAGATTGTTACTACTTTGTGTAGCAAAACTTCCTTTTTGTAAAGGAGAAGTGGAGTCTTTCTTCCTAGATGGCAAATGGAGATGTGGTTACCTCTTCTGCTAAAATGCTGATAATTTTAATATAAGTCATACAGAAATTGTTATCTAAAGACTCCACGGCTGCTTATTTTTTTCATTACTCATTGTAAAACTTATTTTCAACAGCTTAAATATCTTTTATGTTGTATCATCAAATAAAACTGTTCTCCCTCTTGGACAGCGTGATGGACTAAAGAAATTATTTCTTTTGCAATGTGAACGTGTTAATCCTTAATCATTGCTCCCTCTAGTGGATATATCATGTGTTGCATACATCTAAAGTATAAAATCCGTTTGAAAATACTTTAATTTGGGTTTGCTGAAGAAGTTGGGATAGTTGAAGAAGTTGAAAACCAGTGAGTTGTAACTCGACCACTTATATAACTTTTAATTTTGTTAAGTCCACCTCCAGACATTTTTAAAAAATGTTTTTCAGTCATTTCCAAACTTCAAGAGTCTAAGTGAAGAGCAACTCATTTGGAACAGAGGCCATTTTACTTTAATAATTGATATAAAATATGCTTAAATTACAGAACCTATATTGGAAAAAAAATCTATATGCATGAACTGTAATGTAAGCAATGTCTTCTTTAGCATAGTGCCTGGCATATGATCAGCACTCAATAAATGTTGACTGAATAAATGTTTTAGCTTCAACTTTTTGTGTGTGCACAATGACTGTGAGGTTATAATCTATTTGAAAGATTGCCGTAAAAATTAAGAAATAATCATATAAATTTCATAGCATGGTATGTAGTATATATGAGAATCTCACAAACCCTAGCCATTATTATTATAGCTATCATTTTCTGATGTTGTAGACACAGTGTGGAAACTTAACTTTGTATTAGTAGTAACTTTATCCCAAGAACTTTTTAAAAAGCCTTTTAGGGTATAATTAAGCTCGTGGATTTTATTTGTTTGGTTTTTTTTCTTTGAAACAGCTTTCCTGAGATATAATTTACATACCACAAAGTTCACCCATTTAAAGTGTAAAATTCAGTGATTTTTAGTACACTTACAGAGTTGTACAACGATCACCATCATCTAAAATTAGAACATTTTAGTCATCCCCAAATGAGCTCATGGTTTTTATATTAGGTTTCAGATGCCAGTGGATACATGAGAGTGACTGTGGTGGCAGAAGAAAACCCCTTCTCCATGGCAATGCTGCTTTCCGAAGAATGCTTTATTTTGGACCATGGTGCTGCAAAACAAATTTTTGTATGGAAAGGTAAAAGATACCACTGACAATGTTGCTGCACTTCAGATTTATAGATATGGCTTCAACAGGGTAAAGAAAACACCTTTTCAGGGCCGGCGGTGTGGCTCAGTTGGTTAGCAGCTCGCTCAAGAGTGCGAGCTCTGAGCAACAGCGGTTCGAGTCCCAGCCCAAGCTTAGCAGCCGCTGAGCTACCAGCAGATGGCATGATGGCTCTGCTTAAAAAAAGAAAAAAAGAAAAGAAAACATCTTTTCTGATAAACAAACAAAAAACAACCTACCTTTCTGAGACTTGATATGAAAGTAGCTCATAAAATGCGAACATCAAAACCATATTTTTTTCCTAGTAGCATCATTTGTTGGGGATGATGGGGTTAAAAAGGCATTTGGGCAATATAAAAGGGATTTTTTTTTATGTACTGTTCATTACTGTATTATTAAATATATTTAATGTACGAGGAAAGTTTTGCCATTTTCTCAGTGTTATATTTAAATTAAGTTATGTTTATTTTTGTACACAAGGATTTCTTCATCATATAATATCTTCCCTCACTAAAATTCTGTCTCTTTATTTTATATTTTAGGTAAAAATGCAAACCCCCAGGAGAGAAAGGCTGCAATGAAGACAGCTGAACGTTTCCTACACCAAATGAATTATCCCATTAATACCCAAGTATGTGTGGAAATGAGCTAGCTAAAATAATAATAATAATTAAAACATGGGAACTCATGACCTCTCCACCAACTCGTGAAAGAATTTCGTTCAAAATATTGTACGCGTGTGAGGTCATTCTTCACTTGCGTGTGTGCAATTTTGTGTCATATGTCCCCAGAACTCTGGGTGGAGGATGGGATTTTGCAGAACTTGGAGAAAAGACCTTCTGTGGGGCTGCATGATGAGGATAAGAGTCCATCTACTTCCTCCACAATTTTCAAGTAAAGATAACCACGGTTGAATTAACTGAGAGTGCTTATCATTTATTTATTCATAGAGCAATTTGTGCAGATATGGACCAATACCCAGATAATATTTGGCTTCATGAAGATGAACTTAGACACTGGCTAGTGACTCTTCCTTTCTGAATCTCTCAGCTTCATCTTTTGTTTTCATTTTTATGTCTGCACAAGTAACACCACGCAATCATTTCTTCTGGGTCACCGTCTTCTTATGAACCTAACATAGAAAAATAGTCAAACTTATTTGACTGTAATGGTAACATATGAAAGAACTTTATTCTTACCCCAAACATCCAAATTCAGACAATTCCTTTAGTTGTGCGAAAAATGTAAGATTGGATTGTTTTAGCTTTATAGTTGGTAACCTTTCCTTAGTAATTATTATTTTTCAAATTTCAGATTCAAGTGCTTCCAGAAGGAGGCGAAACACCAATCTTTAAACAGTTCTTTAAGGACTGGAGAGATAAAGATCAGAGTGATGGCTATGGGAAAGTATATGTCACAGAGAAAGTGGCTCGAATAAAACAAATTCCTTTTGATGCCTCTAAATTACATAGTTCTCCGCAAATGGCAGCCCAGCACAATATGGTGGACTATGGGTATGGCAAAGTGCAGGTATTTACCTTCTTTTATTTGTTGTTTGTTTGTTTGTTTGTTTTTCTCAAGCCCATTTATGCCAATATGTGTGGAAACATAACTTCAGAAAACTACAAACTGTGTAAAATGTGAATTTTATGTATGAATACACATGATCCAAGACTGTATATTAAATCGGGGAATTGAAAGCTGGGAGAGATTTTGTCTGAACTTCAGCTATAGTTTACAAAGTGTATGTTGCAATTCCAAGAAGTTAGGTGATTTGTGCAAGATTACCTAATTATCATCTTAGAGATCTGACATGGAACCCACCATCTTGTTTTCTGGTCCAGAGCTGCTCCTGCTCTCAGAACAGGGATTGTCCAGTGAGGGTGTATTGCCCTGACTATACCAGCTACCGTCAGTTTGTCTTCCCCTCACACTTTAGAGACTTTCACAAAAGCAAAGTGGGCATGTGTTATGTGCCCATGAATTACTGAATTGAGTTTGTTGATTATTCCTTTTTCTTTCTGACAAAAATTGCTTAAAACCCCATAATAATTCTCCTTAACTCAAATCTCTCCACACTCAAACCACTCTTGAGTCATCTGACTTCATGAGAACTGGGCAATGTCACTTCCCATTCTGAAATATTTTAGTGGCTCTCCACAGTCTTCCTGAGTGAGGGACATCTATCTTTGGCTAGGCTGGCAAGGTCTTCCATGATTTGATCCTTGCCGTCCTCTCCGCCTCACCCTTCCACTGTCTTGTGGGCTCTTCCCCTCAATTGTCTGGTTAACATGCCCACTCCTCATTTGTAACTCAGTTAAGCCATAAGCTGCATCTCTTTCGAGAATTCTTCCCTCCACACTGAAATTGCCTTTCTCTGTGCTCAAACCATAAGTAATATGTTTCAGACAATTTATCATATAAGTACAGAATTGTTCATTTACGTACAGATTTCTCCTAGACCTCTTGTCAGTTCCTTGAGGGCATGAATTGAATATTTTATCTCTGTGTTCCCAGGGTTTACCACAGTGCTTGGAGCAAAGTATAAAATGATTTAGGAAGTAGTTTTTGTTTTTTCAGACATGAAGTGTGAATCAAAGCGTGCAGGGGTTGTGGGAACTGCAAAGGGAGACAGGCCGTTGTAGAGAGGCATCAGTTTCTGGGTCTGGGTCTGTCTTATGCTCAGACACCCTTTTCTGGAGCTCAGCACTGCCAGAGCCCCTGTGGCAGATTTGGCTCCCTGGCACCAACTAGATCCCAGCTGCAATCACCATGTCAGGCCACAGCATCTCTGAGAAGTCCTCCAACGCCACCCCAGAGCCGCTGGAATCCAGGGCTCTCTCAAGGTTTTTGGGTTTGGCCAGGCCTTGCTGCCGTTTCTCCTTTGCTCACCAGGATGGTGTGGGAACGCTTCTCTTGGAAAGCACTACACCTCGCCTCTCCACTCGCTCATGTCCAAATTTCAAAGCAAAGGGTCTATCCTGCTGCTCCCCAGGACCCAGGCAGGAGGGTGCCTGTGTGTGTCACACAGTGCCTGCCAATCTTTTACTCATACATTACTTCCCTGTTTCATCTGCAACTCTCATCTCTCCAACTTGGAAGTATCTTTAATCTGTGATAAGGATGAGGAAGTAGGAAAAAGACTGGTTCTGCCTGCTTTTATCTTTTCAGTCTTATTGCCTACATGGCGCCTTTTAAAAATAGAAGCCGTACATTTGGCATCTTTATTTTTAAGTCACAATCTGCCACTCTTGCCTGGGAAAGCAATAGTCTCATGCCTTAAAGCAAAGGGAAAAAATAAACTTGAAAAAACTACCTCTCAACTAATGAAATATTTCATGGAAAAGATATATTTCTGAGCTGAATATTTTAGTTTGTTATTCCACGAAAGTGTCATATTATTTTAGCTAATTGATCAAAGAATAGGTATTTATTAATCAACAGGCTCAGAACTGAGCTAAATGCTGTGGGGGATGGAAAAGAAATATAAGCACACTTAAAAAGTCAGTAAACAAATTGCCAGATGGATCGAACTTCTCATTGCTTGATTTGTAAACTAATTAGAAAAATTATTTAACGGTTATTTAATGATAGATCTAAACTAATTGTTTTAAACTTCTGAGAAGTATTATTAGATCAAGAGAATTTTAATTTTGGTTCCATTGCTTTCAGATTTGGCGTGTAGAAAACAATGGTAGGATTGAAATTGACCAAAATTCATACGGTGAATTCTATGGTGGTGACTGCTACATTATACTCTACACTTACCCCAGAGGACAGATTATCTATACGTGGTAAGTTTCCTCTTTCAAAAGATCTCAAGTTCCATAGGGGCCAGCTTTTGCCCCAAAGTTAAATTTCATTAAATACCATGCAATATGGGATATAATTTTCCTGTAGTTACCCCAGTGAGATTTGTATAATATGCATGTAGTATTTTCTTTCTATATGCTTTTGACTATGTTTTGTAGCTACTGTCCATAAACAGTATGAGGGGTTAGATGAAAATTATCCTTCCTAGTTTGGGAAAAAGGTTTTACTATCCAAAGGGTAGTGTTCTCTTCATGGATATGTGGTTGAATATCTCATCTCCTATGCACGCTTCGCTCTAACTGGCCAGCACTGGGTGCCATGTATTCTTGTTGCTAAAATCCAGTGGCCCATCCTGATTAGAGCTGCATAGTTACCATGAGGCAAACCCTCTAAGGGATATATATATATATATATATATATATATATATATATATATATATGTAATGATTCTATTCATACTCCAGAGACTTCAAATTGATGCATTCATATTCTCTGTCCCCATGAAATTCATAGCAACAATGGAGAAAAATGCCAGTGTATCCACATCTTATATGGTTTTGCAGAATGATTTGAGTTAGTTGAAGGTTAAGTTTACTTAGTCAGAGTTAGTGTCCAATGGGAAGTGCCCAACAAGTGAGTTAAGTGTACATGCCATGCTGGGCTATGCAAAGGGATAGGGGTTCTGCAACGTATCATATAATGTGGGGGTTCTCTACCTTTTTATTAAGTGAAATCAGGTAAAATAGAATATTGCTGAGAAGAGTGGAGAATTCTCAAAACAGACCTTAAAGCTGAGCGATGTAGGTGGAAGGTACAAGGGCAGAGCAGGTCTACCTTTGCCTACACAGTGATGGCAGCCTTCAGTGGGCGTATTGGATGTACATGGGCTCAAGTCTCTGCTTATATGGTGACTTTTCTCTTTGGTGAGTATTCCTTCAGATGACAGAGTCCTGTCTGTCCTCACAGTGTCACCTTACTACTTCCTGCTTACTGGTTACACTGACCAATGGCTTGAGACCAACCAAGTTCAGAAGATGGGGTGATTATCCTTTAGGTTCTTGCTACCCAATGTGTGGTCTGGGAATGAGAGATATCAGCATGACCTGAGCTGGTTACAAACGTAGAATCTCAGGTTCCATCTCTGACCCACTAGAGCAGAACCTGCATTTTAACAAGATCCCCGGGTGATTCATATGCACTTTAATGATTAACAGGCACTGCCTTAGGCAATGGTTCTAAACACTAGCTGCACATACTAACTTGGGCAATTCTTCACAAATCCAAATGCATGGCCCCCATCCCGTATCAAATAGACCTGAGTCTCAGCATGGTGGGACTCCTGAGATTCTAATGAACATCACAGCATTAATGAGAACCACTATACCCAGGGACATTTCTGAACCCACAGCCATATCATAGCCTGTCAAAGATTAATATATTTAGTTGTATAGTGCTGTGTTTAACATGTCATTTTCATAGCAACCCTTTTTTTTGAGCAGCATGTTTGTGCCAGAGAAGTGCTAGATGTTTCTAAGTATTATCTCTGTCACTCACCACCAGGCTAGTTCCAAAAGAAAAAAAAAAAAAAAGGAGGGGAGGAATCAGACAGATTAAGTAACTGAACCCAAAGACACAACCGTTTTAGCTGATGAGGCACATTTCACTCCTTGATCTGCAGGTCTCTAATCCTGAGGCCCGAGTGCAGCTATACCCTGTAGGGATGTCCTTATTTTGCAATTTCCTTTTCTAAAATTTTAATTCAGAAAAGTTATTTGTGCAAAGTTTGGTATTTATAGGGATACATTAATTGTTCCTAGTCAGTTTTTCTTTTACATTCTGTTTCTTGATCTTACACTAAATTCTCTTTTGTATGTAAAAAATATATAATTGATCGTGGCACTTAGATCTAACAGGAAAGACTAAACAAGCAATTCAAGAGAATGTGTTGAGGAATTAACAATTTGAAACCCACATAAATAATTACGTGGCTATGACTAAAACAGACTAAATCAGGTTATACACTATTATATTTTGGGGTTTTTTAGCTGAGCCCAGCGGCAGCTCAGCTCGGGCCGGGAATCAAACCGGCGACCCTGTTGCTCAGAGCTCGCACTTTAGAGTGAGCTCTTAACAAACTGAGCCACTCTGCCGACCCTCAAGTTATACATTTTAAATGTAGAAGCTACTCCTTAAATAATTTGAAAGTATTTATTGAGCACTATCTTTGTGTCAAGCACTGTATTCGATACTAAAAATCCTGCGATCCCCCCGCCAAAATTTATACTTTAGAGAGAGGCAGATGATTAATAGGCATTTTAATGATATATGAATGATTTTAAGATAAGACCAAGCTGAGTGATCTGTAGGAAATTATAGATGGAACCCAAGCCCACTCCTAGGCTAGTAGTCAAGGACTCCTACCGTGTTTTTCCAAAAATAAGACCAGGTCTTACATTAATTTTTGCTCCAACAATCTACATTTATTCATTTATTCATGTATGAAAATCTACATTTATTCAAATAGCCATGTCTGACTGATGATCTTAACTGGGGCTTATGTTTGGGATAGGGCTTATATTACGAGCATCCTGAAATATCATGCTAGGGCTTATTTTCCAGTTAGGTCTTATTTTTGGGGAAACACGGTAGAAGAAAAGACATCTCAGTGGGAGCAGAGGTGGGAGCTGAGCAGTTCCAAGCAGTGCCGGGAAGTGGTCTCTAATCAACTTACAATGTTGTGTGGCTGGAACAAAGTTAGGGAGCAAAAGATTAAAACAGAGAAATTAGAAGGAGCCAAATTGCGAATGGCCTTGTAACCATGCTGGGGAGGATTAACTTTATTTTCAGGCCATTGTGAGCCAGTCAAAGAATTTGCACAGGAGCATGATTGGTTTTCATCTTAGAGAAATTATTCTGATTGACATCTAAAGAATAGACCGTTATGAGAAGGTTGGTGGCAGGGAGGTCCCTGGAATCTTGCTGTAATATACAGCTAAATAATAATGTGGCCAGAATTCAGCGTAAGATTGACGGGGAAGGAAAAGACATGACAAATGTGCAAGGTATTAAGGAGTTGCCATCTGAAAGACTGATTATGGGGAACAGACAAGATGACCAAGTCAGGGTGACCCCCAGATTTCCTGTCTGTGCACAAGTGAGTAGTGTTTCATTTCCTGAGATAAAGAACTCAGGAGAACATGTTTGCCACTACCACCGCCACCCCCAATAAAAAGCTCAAAGAAAAAAAGAAGATAATAATAATACACTACATTGTTAATAGTTACTATCTTTAGGATAGGACTGGAGATGGGGAATAAGGTCATTTAGTTTTCTTTTTTCAATTTGATGTGTTCAGCTTCTATGATGGGAATGTATGAATTTTTACGCTATCAAGTATAGAAGGACTTGAGATCCTTTTGCGAGTCTTTGCCAGTTAATGAAACAGATGTTAGTTATGTACCTTTGTTAATGTTGTATGGTTTGTGGAACTTCAAAGCTTCCATAAAGGCAGTGAAGAGGCATTTAGAAAATAAGCAGATCTCTTGAAGACTGACTTTCAAATTTAAAACGTTTTCATTTATGAGGTAATTTTGATGCAGGCTAAGTCCAGGAGGCAGAGTTCAAGGTGAAAGATCAGAGTTAAATCAGTTTTTGAACACCTGAATTTGTCTTCTTACTTCTAAAACCACTTATATTCTAAAGTGATGGGAGGCAAATAATTTCAACAGTGATCTTTTTCTCTAAAGTGTCAAGTAATTGAAGTTGAACAAACATTGAACAATGGCAGTGATGAATCTCTTAAAGCAGGAAATTCCATTTTCATGCAGTATTTATGTTTAATGAAAAACAAGCACCACAGGCTTATAAAAAAAATCATGTCAAAGTAGATTGCTTTCCCTGACCCCCAGCAGAGGATTTTGGAATTAAGAGACTTTATTATGTCTTGATTGTAGTGGAGTGCTTGACCCCCTGGGTCACAGATCCATAAAACAAATGAGTTTGAATCTGTCTGGATGGAACACGGTCACTTTGACAGGAGGAGGCATTGGGGTGCCAGATAAGTGGTGAAGTGTGTAGTAAGAGTGTCAGAAGGCACGAGTGTGGTCAGGTTTTTCAGGTTTGCTGGCTGGACATTTGTGTGTGGGGTGAGGAGCAAAATGCAGACAAAGGTTTGGTGACATTGTCTATTAGTTGGTTAATTTTTTTTTTTCCTGTAAAAAAGAAGCAAAATGGAGAAATAGCCAGGAAACTGTAGATGTGGTGAAAGAGTGACAGGTGGTCACAGGTCCTGCTGTTACCTGTCACTCCCGCCCTGGCTCATGGAAGTGTGTGTCAATATTACAGGCTTAGGGGAAATTTAGGCTATCAGCATTAGAAGACCATCGCTTTATGGGTGCCTTTATTAGAGAAAGCACTTTTCTTTTTTCTTTTAAACATGTGCCTGACATTAGTATGTGTTTTGGGTTTTTTTGTTTGTTTGTTTGTTTTTGCATCTCTCTGTAGGACATTTTTATATTGATCACTTAACTCTGTTGGTGCTATGAAATATTCTGAGATAAATAAGATATGTTTCCTGCACTCAGTGTTTTGGAGTGTGTGTGTGTGTGTGTGTGTGTGTGTGTGTGTGTCTGTGTGTGTGTGTGTGTGTGTGCAATGTCCCAGGGTAGGAGGTTATAGTTCATTGTTCTGGGTATAGAACAGGTTACTTCCATGGTTTATCAAGAAAAAGGTATGGTTAACTTCCAAAACCCAATTCTGGGATTAGTATTTTTCCTGCTAACCCCTAGTCAGATAGAGATGGGAAAGTTGGCTAGAAACCAACAATACCTGATGTTTTGGCTGGTTCCCCACCCCCAGTCCACTCCCCATACACACACAAATTCATCAAAGAGGCTGATCTCCCAAAAGTTGCTTTACAGGTTAAGCTAACGATTGGAGTTATAGCTACAACCTACCCTAGAAAGAGAAGTTGCGAATGAACCAGATTAATTGATCTATTGACCCTTATCTGGGTTGCTGGTAGTTTAGCCACTCTTACAGTTTTATTAATAATTCCTTTACAGAATTGCTAGGGTGACAAAATGGGCCCTCTCCATTTCCCACTTCTGATTATTATTTTGTTGATTTTTCTGGGCTCAGACATTTGGTCGTATGCTCACCAAATATTCATGGAATAATCAAGTGCCTGTAACGTCCAGCGTAATAGATTTGGCTCAGATTCTCTTACTCAAATGGATCATTTTAATTATTGATATGGTTTCCCAAAATAGCTGCTTTGACTTGAAATTAGACCTGATTACTTATCTAAGTTATGTAAAGAGCTAAGGCTATACTTCTTTACCTATTAAACGGAGATAAAGATACACACCACATGTTTTTCTAGGCACCACACAGGACAATTCATGACTTAACCTTAGTATTTGCAAAAAAAAAATAGCTTCTACGGCCATATCATGTTAAAACAATTGGTTTCTTCTTGATCTTTTATAATCATTTAAGTCTCTGCTTGAAATGCCTATGTTAAAAAGTCTTAAAGCTTAAAGGCAAGCTAATTTATTTTACTTTGGTTCTTCCAGGCAAGGAGCAAATGCCACAAGAGATGAGCTGACGACATCTGCATTCCTGACAGTTCAGTTGGACAGGTCCCTCGGAGGACAGGCTGTGCAGGTAAAGAGATTTTTACCACCACCCCCCCCCCCAAAACTCAGAAAAGTTAGAGTTTTACTAGCCCAATGTCTAGTTAAAGCCCTCCTCCCAAGTTAGGATGACAATCTGACATTTTCTAGATATTACCTTTTTCTTTTTTTTTTTAAAGATTTTCTTTATTGGGGAGTTGGGGGAAGGGGAACAGACAAGTTGCTGTCCTTTTTTTGTTCTTCAGTCTGGTTGTGGAGGATGTTGCTTCACTGGCCCAAGTTGGCACCATCATTGAGCTCTTCCCGAGTGAGGCAGGTCAGTCGCTGGCTTCTGGACGGCCGCTCACGGTGGCTGCTGGCTACACACGGTAGCCCATGGCAACCTACTGCAGCAAGGGCTTCAGCCTATGCCGTCGCCGGCAACTCATGGCAGCCCAGCTCCAGGTTGAGCTGTTGTTCAGCATCTTAGCTGTAGAGGGCAGTGTCACTGGCCCTCATATGTGGGATCCGAACCGGGGCCCTCTGGCATCCCAAGCCAGCTCTTAACCAATGCACCACTCGGCTGGCCCAGACATTATCTTTTTCATATTGGAATTCCGGTATTCTTGCTCTCATGCCATACTAATTCTCTCAGACTTTGGGAAAGAGGAAGCAAACAAAATAAAAAAATAAAAACAACAACAACAACAACAACAACAACAAAAACTATTAATAGATTTAAGAGCCCCAAAGAATCTTTTTTTAGAATCACATCATATGTCAGTGACAGTCATTGACATTGAAACTGTTCTGAGATACCACTTCCGGCTATTGTTAAACAGATGTGGTAAGGCAGAGGTATTCCCCGACCCTTACCCCTGCTAAAATGTCAACATCTTAATCCTCAGGGCCTGTGAATATGTGATATTACTAGGCAAAGGGGAAAGAAGGGAATTAAGAGTGGAGACAGAATTAAGGTTGGAAATCAGCATCATTTCTTAAAAGAGGAATATCTAGGATGACTAAGTAGATCCAGTATAATCACAAGGATGTTTATACGTGAGACTGGGAGGCAGCATGGGAGGGATTCAGCCAACAATTGCACACTTTAAAGATGGAAGGACTCACTCGTCCCCAGCCATGTAATATGGGAAGCCTCTAGAAGATGAAAAAGACAAAGAAATGTATTCACCCCCAGGGCCTCCAAAAAGGAACATAGCCCTGCGCCATCTTGATTTTAGTTCACTGATGCTCCTTCACAACTTCTGAATTCTCAAGCTGTTAGACAAATTTGTGCTTATTTAAAGTAAAATCGTGGTAATTTGTTATAGCAGCAATAGGAAATAAATACAGCAGTGTAGAACAAGCACAGATGAATGATTCTAATTAATAGTATAAAAAAAAAAAAGAACACCGTTTTACATGTTCCCAAATTATAAAGTACATCAGCTATGTTTTGCATAGGCAAACTGAAATAAACCTTCATAAGAGAGCATGGGTTCTTATTTTCCCCTTTTGAGTTGTAGAATCTTGACTGAAACAAAGTTCAACACCCAAAGGTGAGGTGGGTAGTGGAGGAGAGGGAAAAAGAGGAAGAGAAAGAGGAGGGGAAGAGGGGAGGGGAAGAGAGAGGAGAGGATGGTGTGAGGGAGGAGCCAGATGGATTCTTAATTTGGGTATTTCTGAAAATAAAAAGTAATCTGTTGAGACTGACTGAACCCAAATTCTAAATGACAATTCCAAGTAAATGAGTCAGCTTTTGAGAGAAAGAGAGACAGAGAGAGTGAGAAAGAGAGAGAGCGAGAGAGAGAGAGAAAGAGAGAGAGAGAGAGAGAGAGAGAGAGAGAGAGAGAGAGAGAGAGAGAGAGAGAGANCAAATTCTAAATGACAATTCCAAGTAAATGAGTCAGCTTTTGAGAGAAAGAGAGACAGAGAGAGTGAGAAAGAGAGAGAGCGAGAGAGAGAGAGAGAGAGAGAGAGAGAGAGAGAGAGAGAGAGAGAGAGAGAGAAAGAGGGAGAGAGAGAGAGAGTAGGTATATTGAGACGTGTGGGGGGGGGAATAATGTGTTGACTTACTTATTATAGAAGTTTGAATGTCATACAATGGAACTCCAATGCCAATGTCTAGTTTTAGATCTCATTGCATCGAAGGATCTGTTTTCAGTCTGGTTTGACCTTCTTTCTTCTTTTTTCAAGCTCAACTACTCCTCTTCTTATATTTATGGTAGAAAATCTGCTACTTGTTTCAGGACCCTTATTAATAACCACAGGAAGTTCTTGGTCTTTGCTTATTTTAATTCCTTAATGTGTAACTTAAATGCAGACTTCAAGAAGACTTTGTCTCCCTTCAACGAGTCTGCCTGCTTCTCTTCTTAACCCCAAGAGGCACTGGCTTATTCCTTGGCCCTACAGCAGGCTCTGCCTAGTGTGTGTGTGTGTCTCTCTCTCTCCCTCCCTCTCTCTCTCTCTCTCTCTCTCTCTCTCTCTCTCTCTGTCTCCCCCTCCCTCCCTCCCTCCTTCCCCCCTCCCCCCCTTAACTACCTGAAGCTGCCTGGGTATTTTCTCTGGCTGGTTTTGGGGGAAGGAGCCTGCTCTCATCTGTTGGGAAAAGCATCTTCCAGACTGGGGTTCAGCGTGAAGGCAGGTGCTCCTTTGGCCAGTGTAGAGACACTTCTGACACAGCAGCATTATGCATTCCCGTCTCAGGAATGTGTCCAACGTCCTCATGCCTGATGCCAAGTGAGCTAAGATTCTGTGTGGCATGCAAGTGTTTTGTTTTGTTTGCAAATCTTTATAAATAAATGTGTAACTGCTTCTTCAAAGGTAATAATTAAATAGATAGATAAAGCAGATACTTTAGTCCATAACATCTATGATGTTGAGGCTAAATTTGGTCTTCCAGATGGCTTCCTTTCTACCTGGGTACTTGTCAATAGGTTTACTATGAAGCAAATTAGATCTAAATTTAAAGGTGCCTATTGGGACAGCCGGTTAGCTCAGTTGGTAGAACAGTGCTTATACACCAAGGTTGCCGGTTCGATCCCCACATGGGCCACTGAGATGCGCCCTCCATAACTAGATTGAAACTACTACTTGACTTGGAGCTGATGAGTCCTGGAAAAAAACCTTATAAATAAAAAAAATAAAAATAAAATAAAAAAGTGCATATTAACTTTTTAAATTAAATTTAATTGTTTATTAACAAATTTATAAGATTGAATTCTTTAAATGTAGTGAACTCTCTCTGTGTAGTATTATATTTCATTCCTTGAATGAAATATTTTTAGCTAAGAACTGGCATCATCTATGCCATTTAATTGATCTTTAACATTCCTTACCAAATTATGTAAACACTTTGAGGATACTTTTATGCCTTATAAACTCCAAGTTTTATAGTAAAATATTTCAGATACACAGTGGATGTATTTCCTCCATCATTAGCCAGTTGAATCCTAAATTGACAATGAAATGGTAATGTTTAGTCACTAGATGGCAGTAGTTTATAATAATGGATAAAGTTCTGTATTGCTGTTTCAAAAATCCTTTTGTAGAGTATATTAACAGTATCAAAATTTGTTCAATTTACTTCCCTCTCGTTCTCATTTCACAGGCAGAATGGGTCTTGACCCGTGGCCTCCTTTTTCTTAGGTTAGCAGTTGAGGTTTTTCTCAATGTTACGGGAAATGCTAACCATCAACAGCTTTAGGAGTTCCTAGCTGATCTCACCCCCAAGTTTTGGGACTGTCACTCAAAAGATGTCTTTATAATTTGCTGCTCGCTTATTTGAAAGTTTACGAATTGAAAGATCTGTGAAGCTCATTATTTTTAGTGTTCCTGGTCCTCTCTACAATGGTGTATGCATCAACTTGGCTTCCAATTCACTTGGCTTCCTTAAAAAGGCACACCAGAGCAGATGAGACAGTTCAATTTTAGCATAGGGCAGAATAATTGAAAAAATAGGGGACCAGCACAAAATGTGAGCCCTTTTTGTAAAAAATGCATCAGTAGCTTATGCAAGAAATAGGAACTTCATTTCTAATCTAATATCTGGTGTTAAGTAATAGACGAAATTAAATAATTACCATTTAATTTCTTCCATTTCTGTATCCTGAAAAGTCCTTATAATGTATTTTTTAAGTACTTAAATTAAGCAAATCAATGATTACCATTTCTAAAGTGATGTTAAAAAGTAAAAAGTATATTTTGTTTATTTTTGCCCGTTTTGGATGTTTGGATAGAAATCATATATCCATCCCCAGATGAATTTATAATTATTGTTTCATCTCAGCTGTAGGGATGTGGAAATAATGGGTATGCTTTTGTGTTGTCATATTTGCGGAGGCATTTGAACCTTCTGAACAATATCCAAAACACGTGAGAAGCAAGTGTATTCCTAAACATCTGTAAAGCGCTGGTGCTATTGAAAAAAGAGTAATTTTCATAAAAGATGGCACACATCAACACTTTGTTCTCTTTTTGGAGATGAACAGATGCCATCGTTATGCTTTCTGGAAGCAGAAAGTGGTGCGGTATGGCAGTGTCTTCCCTGAGAAGAAACTGGTCGGGAGCCTGGGTCTGGAGTAACAAAGAATTCTTAAGTCCGTGAGGAAGCTGTGCTTTCAGTGACTTCTATTTCCTGTCAATCATTATTCCTCCTGCTCTTGATATGTGGTTTATTTTTTGTTTAGTTTTGAAAAAAGGAAAATAAAAACACATTTGCAAATGCAAGCTTCTTTCAGGGCACCCTTTATTTTATTTCTTTTATCTCCCCGCCCCCAGATCCGAGTCTCCCAGGGCAAAGAGCCTATGCACCTGCTGAGTTTGTTCAAAGACAGACCGCTCATTATTTACAAGAATGGGACATCAAAGAAAGGAGGTCAGGCGCCGGCCCCCCCTGTACGCCTCTTCCAAGTCCGGAGAAACCTGGCATCTATCACCAGAATCGTGGAGGTATGTTACGCATTCAATAAAAACAACCTGAGCCATCAACAAGTATTAGTCATTCAAAAATTAGCACATAAACTCCCTTCATTTCTATAATTCATCCATTGTCCACAATAAAAAAAAATTTAATTAAAAAAAAAACACTGAAAGCAGGGGAATTCAGTAAAAAGTTAATTCCCAATACCAGGCCTCTCACATTTTTCAACTGCATTGTACGAAAACATGAATTTCAAGAATAATGTAACAAATCGAGCTGTCAGAGGCATGAGGCAACTTACGCTTTCTCTTGGAAGGGCTGGGGGAAGATGGATGGTGGTGGTGATCAGGTGACCACACTGGGGAAATCTGAGAGGGATGGGCTGTGTCTGTACAAGTGTAACAAATGCGAGAAGTAAGCGTCACCACACTGGGCCAGAACCATGATTCAGCTGGCCACATAAGCTGTCAGACAGCAGCTGTGCAAGAAATCAGACCCCATATCACAGTGTCATCAGACAAGACCTCCAGGTATGGGCAAGGCCAGTAGGTGCGGGTTTAAATGGCTGAGTACCTTTCCCTCTAGGATGATGTGTCACACCTCTTATCCCAGTCACCTCGGTCACTATTGAAATCCAACTCTCCCAAACCAACCGAAACTGCCCTGTATACTCTGTGTATCCTCAAACATGGACCCATCTGTCAATCTTTCCTCTCCACACAAACCATTCAGCTGAGCCCTTAAAACCGGTGGGTCATCGCATCTCTCCACCTGCAACCTCTTCTCTAAACCACCCTCCCCCTTCATGCTCTACTGTCCTCCGAGGACACAAATTCCATGCAGCTGTCGCAAGTAGAAATTGTGTTTTACCCCAGTGTCCAGGAGCCAGGGATGGGGTGGACATGGTATCCTTTCCATGGCATTCTCTGCTCACCCTTGCCTCTTTGGCTTGTCTGCTTTTCAGACCCTCCCTTCCCCAGACCCCTTGTGCTGCCATGTACTGAGCTGCCCGTCCTTCCCTTCTTAATCTTTAATGGTGACAGCCTTTGCTTCACTATCTCCATCACACTCTGGCTTCTCTTATCCAACCACCTTGGCCTTGACCCCATTTCATCTCACACTCACATGGCTCTGGACTAAACCTTGCCGTTGTCAATAACTACAACACCTCAGACACCTGTTTCAGACATCCCATCTCTGGCAACCCTCTCCTGTCCTAGCTCCTTTACCCCAGGACGCATTTGTCAGTGATTCTCCATTATCGTACCCGAATCCATGAACCCTCTCCATCCATCACACCCTTTGGGTCCTCCTCTCTCTCCAAATCTCCATCACCCTGCTCTCTCCTGGTCACTGAATCACAGTTCCCAGAGAACATAAATGTGATCACACAAGAGTCACCTTCTCTACTCTTCTCCAATGTCACCAACTTGTCTGCATCTGTACATATATATTCTCCTTCCCGCCTGTTTTATGAAATAAATTTAAATTATTAATTTATGTTTAACAATTAATATTTTATAATAGTTATTTACATATAAATACTAAATTGTTTTATAAATGAATATCAATCTATTGTTACCCGTAAATTAAAAATAAGTAATAACATTTATATAAAGTATATACTGGTAAATAATTTAATACATATTTATTATATAAATAAATAAAACAGGACTCCTATTTAAGGCCAATTTCCTCCCACCTCCACCCACCACCAGCTTTTGCCTGGAATCCCCTGGCCTCTGGGGTTCTCTCTGTCCAGTGTTCTTACCCACTTCCAGGCCATCACTGTCAGGCAATAACCTTCTTTTTCTTCTGTACCATCGGTTTCTTCTGTGCTGGATCATTTGCTTCAGAATACAAACATGCCTTCAAAAGACTGCCATCCTTTCTTTAAAAACTACCTCTTGACCCTGACACGCTCCGCGATGTCCTTTCCCTGCCCTCCTTAAAACCACAAATCCCCAAAACAGTTGTCTTCACTTACTCACAGTCTCTACTTTTTTAAACCTATTCTCTTTAAAGCCAGTCCACTCAGGCGTCATTCCCGCCATTCCACTGAAATGATTTTTATGTAGTTTGCCTGGTTCCTACCTTCTGCCTTCTCTGATCTCACTTTTCTTAACCTCCCACTATCATTTCCACGGTCACCCTTTTCTGTCTTCTAGAAACACCATTCGTTTTTTCCCACTCGGCTTCTGAAACATTACACTTACCAGGATTTCTTCCAAATGTCATGGCCATTCTTCTAGGGGTAGTTTTTCTGGATTCTCCTTCTCTGTTTGTCCTGTGAGCACTTGAGTGCTCCAAGGATCAGTCTTGGCACTCTTCATAGTGATCTCATTCAGTCATACGGTTTAAATGCGGTCATGTGTATTGATCTCATCCAGAAGAGACTGTGCATGGATTCTCATGTGCTCAATTATGACTAATTTTTTTTTTTAATGGATCAGATTAAAGGGCAGTTTAGCTCTCATCTATGGGCACTCGCAGTTGATTTCAGATGGAAGAGTCAATGAACATTGTTCCATCCCTAGCCTCTCGCGTGGACACTCTTTCTGAGACATGGTACACGCTTGGAATGCAGCTCCTTTATGTCCTTGTGCCTCTTGAACTGGCCTTGGCATGCCTCGCCTCTCAGAAATGCACTAATCAAAACCATTGTTTATAGAGCTTTCTGTTTTCATCTCCTGGGAGGCTAAAGCTTTATAACATTCTGTTTGGGAACTACCTCCCTGATGCCACACCAATGTGGACGTGGGCCCCTTGTCAACTATCTCTCCATCAACCAAACTCTTTCGTCTGCATCAATAAGGCGGCATTTGGATTAGAAATCGGAAGTCATGATGTCTGTAATTTTCCATCACATCGGATTTCTTTGAGCTTGGTCCATGAGGCTTTGCTCCTACTGAAAGAGGACGATAGCCACATCCCCGGATGTTACCAACCCCTGGAACACCGTTAGAACTCCCAACAGCCGTTCCTTCCTCCTCCAGTGCTCTCCCTGGGGACAGAGTCCCGACAAACCTGGGGAAATCTAACTCCCCACCAGGTTGATGCCTTTGTTTGCCACCTCAGCATGGCTCGCCAAACAGCACCATTCGGCCCAGCTGCTCACCAGCTCCTTCCCGAAACCCTGCCTTCCCGTGGCCTCAGGAGCACCGCACTCTTGTTTTCTTCCTCCTCCATGGGTGCCCTTTCCCAGTCTCGCTTACTTGTTCTTCATCTCCCTGTTCTCACACATCTCATGGAGTCCCACAGTCATGAAGACAGTCATACACATGCTTTCACAGCCACACAATCCCATAGTCAGACAGAGGTTCGCACAGAGACGGACACAGAGTCACACAGCACAAGGTCATAGACACAAAGACACAAGCCCATCCTAGGCCCTCTGAGACTCTGCACGTGCCTGTCCCTGCCCAGAGGTCCCACCGTTAGCCTCACCCTCCAGCCAGAGTCTGGGTCCCTTTGACTACTCTGTGTCCCCCTGGAGCAGAACTGTGTCCTCCTGGCTAATGCCAGACAGTGTCCAAAGCTTCCGGTTGAAAGGAAGGGCTATAGCAGTGCTGTGCTTTTATCCCCTATGAATGGTCTTTTATAATTTGGGCTGTAATTATCCGAGCCTGGAGAACCTTTTAGTGAATCTACATTGTGACCTCTTTGCCTGCATTGGACTCCAGTCCCCGTTTTGTGATTTTTAGGTGTGCCTTTGATTATTAGATAAACCTCTTTAAGGAGGGAAATAAAACTGAGTACCTTTACTTTATGTATGTCATTGTTGAATGTCACACCTTTTTTTTTTTTAATTCTAACCCATCCTTGTTCTTATGGTCTCTGAATATTATCTTGGTTACTTATCATTTAAGTTTGGTTCATTGTATTCTTAGAGCCTTTTGCTGCCGTCTGCATGCAGCTGAGCATTCACGTGACACAGAGCAACGTGCTCCTGTCCTAATGTTTGTAACCCCGTAGTGGTGTCCATTGCCACCCCGAACTAATTTCCTAGGGTCAAGACAGAAGGCTATGGATGGTTGGTCACTGTCACAGGCTTCTTGGACATGTGATGGAGGGAGTGGCGATGGATTTGAGTCATGTGTTATTTCGCTTCATTCTCTAGGTAGATGTTGATGCAAATTCGTTGAATTCTAATGATGTGTTTGTCCTCAAACTGCAACCAAACAATGGCTACACCTGGATAGGAAAAGGTGCAAGCCAGGAGGAGGAGAAAGGAGCAGTGTACATAGCAAGTGTGCTCAGGTGCAAAGCCACAGAGATTCGTGAAGGACAGGAACCAGGTTTGTGTTGCGGGGCCCAGGACGCTAAGCAGAGTCAATGTTTGGCATGATTGCTAGTCATGTATTTTTCCCATAATTAATCAATCACTCTGTAAAGGTGATAGGGGGTTAAAAATCCTCCCATCAGTTGCAAAAGTGGGAGATGGTACCTGCTATATTTAAATGGTTTCTTAATAGTAAAATCAAGGTGAGATAATATGATTTGTTAATGGAAAGCAATATAGGCCATGTGCCCCTGCAGATGCATGCGGTGACTCAGTGTGTTTTCCACAGAGGAGTTTTGGAATTCCCTTGGAGGGAAAAAAGACTACCAGACCTCTCCACTGCTGGAAACCCAGGCTGACGACCACCTGCCTCGGCTCTATGCCTGCTCCAACAAGACTGGAAGATTCGCTGTAAGTGTCTTTGGAGAGAGATTCTGGTGTTGGCTCTGACTTTCCAGCCACGTTACTGCTTTGATTCTCAGCTTTAGCGTACCTGCAAACCACAGGTGATGCTCTTCGCTCCACACAGGGCAATTTTAAGCATCGATAACGTAATGGATGTGAAAGCATAGGAATACTGTAATGTACTGTATAAATCAAGCTGATCTTGAAAATATCAGCGACATTGCACCTGTGTCAGCATGTAAGGGTTACTATATGAATATGCACTTGGTTAGATTTGGTAATTCCATAATTTGCCACTTTTTGTGGGCAACAAGTCTGATCAAACTATGTAAATTTTACACTTCCATTTCCCAGGGGCATAAAAAGTTTCTCCAGGTTGACTGAATAAAATGTATTATGGAAATATTATGATCATTGGGCAAAAATCACAGAAAGCTATATGCACACCTGCAAATTAACTGAAATCAGCAGGAATGTTTTATTTCAGAGTTATTCACAGGCTGGTAATTTAAAGTAAAAATATCTACGTACAAGAGTGATTTCATACTAGGCTCTGAAATATCATGGACTGCAGCCCCTCATCTCAATTTAACCATGCATTTTCTGCTCCCTTTGTTTGACAGGGTAGGTTCTTGTATAAAAGTTTCACTTGATGGGCTGGGCCTTGTTTAAACTGCTGTTCTTGGGGTGTTTCTAGGCATGAGGGGAAAACGGTTTGTTTGTTTTTTTAAAGAGGAAATGCTTTTCTATTAGGTGTACCCTGAGTTGGCAGCATAGTTAGCCAAATGCTGTTTTTTATAGACTGATATCCCTTTGGGATATCTTTTTCTACAACATTGGAGAATTTTGCTGTTAAATGTTGATGCAAGTATATATGTATTTTTTTAATTCTTTGTTTAAGAGACAATCTTTATTAGGTCTGCACCTCCATTCTAGATCCTGTTAAGAGATGTTTTGCTGTCAGCGGGGTTAGAGTTAACCCTACTTGAGTTTGGTAATAAAAGGTTGTTGAAGTTT